TTTTTTTTTCTTTTTTTTCTTTTTCTTTCCCCCTTCGAATCTCTGCCTAACTCTATCTGTCAATTTTAGTTTATTTCTTCACCTAGATGGCGTGTAGTACTTAGATTTGTTACTGTCTGCTGTTTGCACAGGATTTTTTTCAAATTGATTTAGGGTTGTGGTTTCAAATTGATTTAGGATGTTTTGTTGTTGAAGGGAGGCTGGGCATACTGAGGGGCATAGGGAGGAGGGTACTGTTGGGCGTAGCCCTTAGGAGGGGGTAACCTATTCCAGTACAATTTAAACCCACAAAAGTGAATTAAAACCCAAAATCAGAACAAAACCCATATTAAATTCTTCAAGCTTTTATATCGATCTGAACAAAATCAAGAAGAAAAAATTATTAGGAAAAGAAGATGTGAATTGCTTGCTTACCTTGAGGTGGAGGAACACCAACAAGAGGCTGTTGTTGGTTGTAATAACTCATTCTTGGTGGTGTTCTTTATGAATTGCTGTAGTAAATTAAGCCCAAAAACTCAGAAAATATCTTTTTTTTTTTTTTCCCTCTCCTTGTGTTCTCAGCCTTACTCTTTTGGTTATGGAAGAGTTGAGAGAATTTATTAATGGGTGGAGAGTCAGAGAGAGACAGGCTGGAGCAGGGGTTCATTTTAAATACTTTGTTTGGTCTTTTTTTTAATGAAATAAAATAAGAATAAGAAAGGCAGCAAAGGATGAATGCGACATCAGAGTTGTTTTTGGTTTTTTTTTTTATTGAGGTTTGATTAAAATAAAATGGCAGCCCTAGAAATTTATCAAATTGATTCAAATTTATTTAGGTTTGATTAGTAGCAGTTCGTGCAGATTAGCAGGAAATTTCTGGAGCAGGTTACAGCTTCCAGCAGCAGTTCTGCCACTTTCTGAGGTATTCTTCATTTCTCTCTCTCTATCTCTGATTTTGATGTGTTGTCGAAAATCTGCAGATTTTTTAATTGTTTTTTTGTGGATATATTTCCTCTGTTTGTAATTGTTTTTATCTGCCAAATTCATACTATAATCCAATCCAGAATGCTGCAAATCATGAAAAGGAACTGTTTTTTTAAATTGAGGTTAATGCTGCATGAAATCTATGAACTTTATGGCTCATTCGGCCCCTGTAAATCTAGAGCCATCATCTCCCCGAAAATCTGAATCCTATTTTGACTGAAAGTTGTGTTTGAAGATGGCAAGAGAAGCTAGTGGTGACTTCATTTTCAAGTAGATATTTTCGTAAGGAAAAGCTCCTTGAAACTATAATTTTCCATCTAACCAAACAAGCTACAAAGAAACCCTAACGAGTACCTTAATGGGCGAGGAGTTGCTTCATCTCTCTCTCTCTCTCTCTCTGAGCCTTACCAACTAGGGGTGGGCATTGGAACTGCAAAACCGCAAAACCGAGCCGAACCAAACCGGAAAAATCCAAAAAAAACCGAGTTGACCAAAAAAGTCAAAAATCGAAAAAAAATCCAAACCGAACCGGTTCTGGTTCCGGTTATCCACTTCATAGAACCGGTCCAGTATAATTAATTTTATATATTTTTATATATTTTACACATGGCTCTTTTTGATTGGTTCTATATAACGTTACAATAGGCTTGCATGCACAGGATCAGCACAAAAATTATAACCCGATTAGGTTTTCATTTCTTCTTTCCTTCTCCAATTTCGTTCTCTCCTTCAAGCTTCAGCCGTCGAATCGAAACCCTTTTGACAGAGGCCCTGTGTGTGCCAAACCTGTCTCAGCCATCATCTCTCTCAGCCTTCCTCTGTCTCATCCTCTCTAACGAAGGCTTCGGTCCAATCCCCTCCGCGCAAAACCTCCTCTCAGGCAAACCTCTCTATCAACCACGTCTCTGTCAGCCAGCATCTCTCTCAACCTCCGCTTCTCTCTGAGCCGGCACCTCTCTCAGTCGCCGCCATCATCACAGGTAAGATTGTCTCTCTTTTTTTTTTCTTTTTTTTCTTTTTCTTTCCCCCTTCGAATCTCTGCCTAACTCTATCTGTCAATTTTAGTTTATTTCTTCACCTAGATGGCGTGTAGTACTTAGATTTGTTACTGTCTGCTGTTTGCACAGGATTTTTTTCAAATTGATTTAGGGTTGTGGTTTCAAATTGATTTAGGATGTTTTGTTGTTGAAGGGAGGCTGGGCATACTGAGGGGCATAGGGAGGAGGGTACTGTTGGGCGTAGCCCTTAGGAGGGGGTAACCTATTCCAGTACAATTTAAACCCACAAAAGTGAATTAAAACCCAAAATCAGAACAAAACCCATATTAAATTCTTCAAGCTTTTATATCGATCTGAACAAAATCAAGAAGAAAAAATTATTAGGAAAAGAAGATGTGAATTGCTTGCTTACCTTGAGGTGGAGGAACACCAACAAGAGGCTGTTGTTGGTTGTAATAACTCATTCTTGGTGGTGTTCTTTATGAATTGCTGTAGTAAATTAAGCCCAAAAACTCAGAAAATATCATTTTTTTTTTTTTCCCTCTCCTTGTGTTCTCAGCCTTACTCTTTTGGTTATGGAAGAGTTGAGAGAATTTATTAATGGGTGGAGAGTCAGAGAGAGACAGGCTGGAGCAGGGGTTCATTTTAAATACTTTGTTTGGTCTTTTTTTTAATGAAATAAAATAAGAATAAGAAAGGCAGCAAAGGATGAATGCGACATCAGAGTTGTTTTTGGTTTTTTTTTTTATTGAGGTTTGATTAAAATAAAATGGCAGCCCTAGAAATTTATCAAATTGATTCAAATTTATTTAGGTTTGATTAGTAGCAGTTCGTGCAGATTAGCAGGAAATTTCTGGAGCAGGTTACAGCTTCCAGCAGCAGTTCTGCCACTTTCTGAGGTATTCTTCATTTCTCTCTCTCTCTCTCTCTCTGATTTTGATGTGTTGTCGAAAATCTGCAGATTTTTTAATTGTTTTTTTGTGGATATATTTCCTCTGTTTGTAATTGTTTTTATCTGCCAAATTCATACTATAATCCAATCCAGAATGCTGCAAATCATGAAAAGGAACTGTTTTTTTAAATTGAGGTTAATGCTGCATGAAATCTATGAACTTTATGGCTCATTCGGCCCCTGTAAATCTAGAGCCATCATCTCCCCGAAGATCTGAATCCTATTTTGACTGAAAGTTGTGTTTGAAGATGGCAAGAGAAGCTAGTGGTGACTTCATTTTCAAGTAGATATTTTCGTAAGGAAAAGCTCCTTGAAACTATAATTTTCCATCTAACCAAACAAGCTACAAAGAAACCCTAACGAGTACCTTAATGGGCGAGGAGTTGCTTCATCTCTCTCTCTCTCTCTCTCTGAGCCTTACCAACGGAGGACACAACACAACCCGAAGAACCTGAAAGAAGCGAGCTAAAAAACCGATTAGGAACGCAAATGAAATTACAGAGTTAAAGAAAGAGAAAAGAAGAAGAATTGAGGAAGAACCTCTGTAGAGCCCGCATTCAATTCAGTTGGCTATAAGCCACCTGGCAGTGTCATTGGCGGGAAACTATTATTATAACTTATAACTTATAACTATATCTGGCAAAATATTTCACAATCTTACTAATACGAAAAATTCGGTAATTTTCCACCATTTCATAAAAAACAAATTTGGTATTTGGATCTAGCCGACTCATAAGATGCCTGTTATATTCGTACGGGCGTATGTGCGATGAGACGAGTCGAGTCGAATATCATGTGTTCTAGCTTGCATTGTTTAAAATTTGTAGAGTGATTTGAATTGTTCTTTTACTAGCTGAGCTTGATATGAGCTCAAATTGTATCGAGCTAATTTACAATAATAAACTAACATCAAAGAGATTGATTTTCTTAAAGTACTTATGTTTTGATTTTCTTAAAGTACTTTTAAACATAAGGTTCAAAAAATAAAAATACAAACATGATATATCGATATATAAAACTTCAAAAAGTAAAAATACAAACATAGAAGCGAGCTAAAAAACCGATTAGGAACGCAAATGAAATTACAGAGTTAAAGAAAGAGAAAAGAAGAAGAATTGAGGAAGAACCTCTGTAGAGCCCGCATTCAATTCAGTTGGCTATAAGCCACCTGGCAGTGTCATTGGCGGGAAACTATTATTATAACTTATAACTTATAACTATATCTGGCAAAATATTTCACAATCTTACTAATACGAAAAATTCGGTAATTTTCCACCATTTCATAAAAAACAAATTTGGTATTTGGATCTAGCCGACTCATAAGATGCCTGTTATATTCGTACGGGCGTATGTGCGATGAGACGAGTCGAGTCGAATATCATGTGTTCTAGCTTGCATTGTTTAAAATTTGTAGAGTGATTTGAATTGTTCTTTTACTAGCTGAGCTTGATATGAGCTCAAATTGTATCGAGCTAATTTACAATAATAAACTAACATCAAAGAGATTGATTTTCTTAAAGTACTTATGTTTTGATTTTCTTAAAGTACTTTTAAACATAAGGTTCAAAAAATAAAAATACAAACATGATATATCGATATATAAAACTTCAAAAAGTAAAAATACAAACATGATATATAAAACTTCAAAAAGAAGAAAGCAAACACATATGCTTTGAGTTTTTTCTTTTTTTTGGATATAGTTTCTTTGAAATTATTGTTCAATGCACAATTTCAAACAAACTTCTTATTATCGATATGTTCACAAGCCTGCCAACAAAACACATATTTGTTTCTTAAACAAACCAAGCTCGATTTGTCTTGTTTCTATTATTAGGGTTTAGGATTTATCTTGACCCAAATCTGATTCAAATTCAATACGAACTTGAGCTTTCTCAAGCCAGCTTACACCCATGTATGTTCATATTAACTTTTTTTTGGTTACATTGGAAGGAAAGAAATCCCTTGGGGTTTCTAACATGGGTGTTAAGCAGGGGTAAGGGGGAAATTGCCACTGTGGTACCTGTTTAAGAAACTCATCAGTGACTTGTTAAGAAGTAAATATATTATGCTTTTTTTTTTTTAAATATATTTGATTATTTAATTTGGACAATTTAGAATAGATGTTTCTTATGTATAATGTTTAGACAATAAACTTGTTGTAACATGTGAATTTTTAAAATGATTTTTTTATTATAAAATTACAGGTGAACATGTCGTGTCATGTTTGTCTTTGCAATTCTTCACATGCTAGGTTAACGGGTGAGCAGTGGTGGATCCACCATGGGGGCAATGGGGTCAGACGACCCCATGGTAGATCTGGATTTAGTGGAAGGGATTGGTTTTTGCCCTTGGCAGCCATGGAAATGACCCCATGGAGAAGAAGAAGCTTCGGTGGGCAACTGGGGTTCATTTGTTTTTTTTGTAAAAACTGCTTGGCAAAACAACGTCGTTTTGGCCAAGGCAATTTTTTTAAAATGACTTAGACAAAACGACGTCGTTTTGGGCTAGGACTTAAGAAAAATAAATAAATAAATAAAGGGGGCTGAGCTTCTTAACAGAACAGACCCTAAAATAGACCTCCAAAATCCCATTTCTCCTCAACAACAACCATAACCCCAATCTCCCCAAGACCTCCACCACCATCTCAATATTTTTTTCGTCTTAAAAAATTATTGGGTAGTTTACACTATGACCCCATGAGTGGCAATTCCTGCATCCGCCACTGCGGGTGAGCTAATTTTCACTCTATGAAACAAATCTGCAAAATGCAACATGTTGCCAAATATAGTTATAGAATGATGATGTAATATGAGCTAAAATTTTTTTTGTTTTTTTCATGGAATGTCAAGTAACTGAATAAGGCTCTCACTGTTGACTAAAAAAATTAAGAAAGCATATGAATTCCTAAAAAATTAATGTCTTTTTTTAATTCATAAAACTATAAATGCAATCTCTAAAAAAGTCTTGGCCTTTGTCACTGACGACCTTTAGGCCTTGGATATGGTCAAGAAGAGTTGAGATCTTCTATTCTATACAAAATTTCTCTTTCTCCTCTATGTCCCTTATGTATTTGAATGACATGTGTCCCAATTTATTATTAAAGAAACACTATATTTTTTAGTTCATGTTGTGGTATTAATTAAAAAACATATCTAACTGAACGTTCCCCTCCCCATCCATCGTTACTCCCTCCCCCATCGTCCCCCCCTTACCAATGGCAAGGGTAAAAACCGAACTACAAAACATGGTGTTTCTTTAATAATAAATTGGGACATGTGTCACTCAAATACGTAGGGGATAGAGAGGAGACGAAGAAATTGGGTACAAAAGATCTCAACTCGGTCAAGATACGGCTTGAACACGGTAAACCCAAAGTGGGACCAATTAGTAATTATTTAAAAAAAAACTGGAGTCCAAACGTAATTGTTGAAACGTTTGTGGACATATTTGAATTGCATAAAATATTGGGGTTAAAATTGTAAAAAACAACATTTCTAAACCTAGAAATCTAAATTCAGCCGCAAGCACCATCTCATTCACAGCTGCAGCAAATTCGGTTTTCTTCTTCTCTTCTCTCTCTCCCTCCCTCCCCACACAATCTTTTGCTTCTCGTCTAAATTTCCTGTTGTTGTTAATTTTCTCTGTTTTCTTAGTTTTGTAACAGTGGATTAATAAAGATTTGCTACTATGTCGGCAATGGGTTCTCACACCAACAAGACGTCGCAGAAAAAGGATCGTCCCCAAATAATTAAATTGAATAAAGCTTTGGAATTGGTATGATAATTTAATCCTCCACTACAATGTTTCTGCCTTGTTTGTGCTTCAAAATTGAAAATTTAGCAATATGCAGGCTAAAAAATGGGTTAATGACATGACTGAACCAGCAGAAGATGAGCATTTTGAAATACAGAGTCGACCTGCTAGGCAAGTTTATTTATTTATTTATGTATTTATTTTGGGGTGAAGGGAGTATAATTATCTTTATTGGTTTTCTCAGGCTTGGACTAGGTGCTAAAGTTCCCCGGCCATCCAAATTTGTACCTTCAGATGATCCCCTTGAAAGGAAATTACACTACAAATTGGATGCTGGAAGAAGAGCTGCTGCCAAAATTGCTGAGGAGTCCGCCGCCGCATCGGCTGCTAGCGATGACGACGACGATGAAGATTTAGACAGCAGAACCAAAGCATTTGAGAAGAAAAGACCAGCGGCTCCGGTGACCCCATCGTTGGGGGGAAAGAAGAGGAAGAAAGTTAACCATAACACCCTTGTCAGAAGTTGATTTTAGAGATTTGGTTCTGTTGTTCTGGTAACTTAGTACAATTTCTTTATCTGTAATTATAGATGTTCAGTCAAGAAATCAAAGCTTGTGGAAAAACCTAGCATGAACTTCTTTTATTTTCTTTGTAATTACAACCAGTCAGTTACATGTAACTCAAAGCTCACAAGGCAACACTGTTAAGAATGAATGAAATCAAGAACACCCTCAACTAACACTACACTCCAACCCTCTAAAAGAATCTACATTTATAAGAAGATGAACAACTCTACATTACAGCCTCAGTGCTTGACATGGACAATGACAAAGAAATGGTACCTATCAGTTTTGAGTTCTTGCAAAGCGTATTTGCAAATACGCTTTGCAAGAACTGTTGCCCAGGATTCCGAGGGAGCCATAGTTTTTCGATGTGGCAGATTCTATGCTATCTACATGAGTTCAGTTGACAAAGTTGCAAAGCCAATTCATCTTGGATCCAGGATACTCCGGGACAGCTAAAGAAGATCTCCTCTCAATTGGTGAAATGTTGCTTCTCATCCTCTGAATCTGTATGCACATATATGACTTGCTTTCCAACTGCCTCAACCAGAAGGTGGGTTGGTTTTCGGCATGAACAATAAGCCAGATTGTGTTTTACAAGTTCAAAATGCAATCTTTTTCATTTGACTCGGCCATAACTAAAGCATTTTCACGTTTGGGACTTCCATCTACATAGCTTAATATGGTATCTTCCATCAATTCTTGGAGAATGGCTTAACCCATGTCAGCACCAATGGTCTCAATATCAAATCGAAGGTCCATCCACGTTCCAGTTCTTGACATGTCTTTTGTGACAATCTGGTCCAAAGTACGAGGGAATGGAAGCGGAAGGAGATGCCAAAAAACTCATGTCCAGACCTCATGTATAGCAGTTTTCAGGTCTGGTACTGGCCTGTAGTGGTTGTATTGACACCTCTACCGCAAATCAGTCAATGAGTTAACATTAATGAAGAAGTGCTAAGAAAAAAAAAGGGATTCCAAGTCAATTTGTATATATAATGAACCATACCTCGTCGAGAAATGGTTTTTGAAAGGCTGATGTCATCATCTATAAATAGTGGCTCAAGAACTGAAACAGGGCTTGGCCGCTCTGCTATATTAATAGCACTTTCTAAATCTTCAAAATGTTTGGCGTTGGACCCATGCTCCTTGCTTTCTCTTTCCTAGCCGATCCCAACAATAGTTGGGGTGCGCTTGTTTTTGAGCTTTTGCCAATCCAATGAGCCCCATGCTTCTTGCTTTTTCTTTCCTATCCGATCCCAACAACAGTTGGGGTGCACTTGGTTTTTGAGCTTTTGCCAATCCGGTAGGACCCATGCTCCTTGCTTTCTCTTTCCTAGCCGATCCCAACAACAATTGGGGTGCGCTTGGTTTTTGAGCTTTTGCTAATCCAATGGCTCATGCTCCTTGCTTTCTCTTTCCTAGCCGATCCCAACAACAGTTGGGGGTGCGCTTGGTTTTTGAGCTTTTGCCAATCCGGTGGGTCCCATACCTCTTGGTTGTCCTTCCGGACCCGTGCGCCTTCGGTCTCTCAACCGATCCAAGGTGTTCACGCCGCCTCTTTTTTTTCTTTTTTTTTTCGCTTCAGCTATCCATACAGGCCCCAATACCCCTTAGTTGTCCTTCCGGACCCGTGCGCCTTCGGTCTCTCAACCGATCCAAGGTGTTCACGCCGCTTTTTATTTATTTTAAATTTTATTTTATTTTTAATTTTTTTAGCTTTAGCTATCCATACAGGCCCCAATACTCCTTAGCTGTCCTTTCGGACCCATGCGCCGTCGGTCTCTTAACCGATCCAAGGTGTTCACGCCCTTTTTTTTATTTTTTTTTATTAATATTTCCTGGCACTTCAGCTGTCCGTGCTCTAGTCTTCGCGTGAAGGGGTGAACATGCTTAGCTCCGTAGGTTTATTTAGTACCTTGCACTACTTATTGCCTACATCTGCTACCTGGATAAGAGATGATGAATCGTAGAGGTAAATGAAATCCGTAAAGCTAAGGGACACACCCCACTTCAAACCGACGGGTAGAAATCCAGATATGAGAAGGTAAGAATTCGGGTTTAGCTGCATGGGGTGAAGGCCCAAGAAGAACAGGAGCATATGAAAGAGGGGATGGAGCGGAAACCTAACATGCTCTAAGTGGGCCGGCGAGAGAATTAAGGAACCCCGAGGGATGCCGGCACCAGTGTACATATTCGACCCCAGAGGAAGAGGACCGATCCCTACGTTGTCGGGAACACATCCTTTGGTGCGAGCCTTAAGTATCTCGTAGTTCGGTGGAACATCACCGGACTTGGGCCAAATCTCGTGGCTCGACATGAAAATTAGCAAAGATGAAAATAGTACTTACTGGGTGGTGGCAAGAGCAAGAACCCTTCGACGGAGTTCTCAAACGCATAGAACACTTTCCTCTCCTTTCGCGCCTGGAGCTTTTATATATGAGGAACAAGATCAAATGGTTTTGCAAACGAATGTACCCCCATCAACCGAACTTTTATAGCGGGGGCGAAGATTGGGAAAATAATTCACGGAAGTCATGGGATGAAGTTTGTCAAAAGCAAAGATAAGGTTGGATGTGGCCGGCTTAGATATTTACCTTAGGCTCTGACAACAAAGCCTGGTCTGATATGACCACTCAAAATTATTTCTACCCAACGCATGCACTCCCCTAGTAGAAAGCTGCATGCACTTCGACAAAAGACAAAGAAGAGCAGCAGATGTAGGCAATAAGTAGTGCAAGGTACTAAATAAACCTACGGAGCTAAGCATGTTCACCCCTTCATGCAAAGACTAGAGCACGGACAGCTGAAGCGCTAGGGAAAAAAAAAAAAAAAGGGCGTGAACACCTTGGATCGGTT